AAACTATCAGGACAACGTTACTATAATTTTAAATTTTCAAGATAAATTTGCACCCTAAAAGACTTTTGGATGCCCAGTGCTTCTAAGTGAAAACTTTCAGAACAAATATGTACCTTAATTAAAACAATAATGCATAAATTTATATATTATGACCCTTTCATAAGTTAAGAGAGCATATAACATAGTCATGCTTAGTAGGGGCCGGGTGAGATTAGTCCTCGTATCATATGCTTTTAATAAAACAATGGACAAGAGGGGACACCACCGTAGATCACCAACTCAAATCAGTGACTCACCACATTGATAGCTTTTAAGCTATTAAAAGAAGTCTCAGCACGACTCTGCTGAGAAGAAGCCGCCATACAGCTCACAGACAGAGCATGTTGAGAACCTTGATGGAGTGATGCTAGGGAGGAAAGCTAACCAGAAAAAGTAACAACGTTAAGATGAAAGCAGAACAGTAGACAAAGCCAGCACTTCATCATATCAACAAAACACAACCAGAAAATGAAAGAGCACCTAGGAACAAAAGGTTGCAGCACTGCAAAGTAGACCTCTAAGTGGCTGCTGAAGAACTTCGAGGTTCTTTTTAGTATCATCCGTGTGTGCGGACCTTTTTGGCATAAGTTCCACCAGAACTCAGAATATGAGCATGATGAGACTCTTCCCATGGGCGCTTCCTTCTCCTTTTAGAAAGGGATGGCTTCAAAGATAAGAGCTGAAACACCAATGCAGTGAGGAGGAAGAATGACCATCTTCTTCTATTAATGCATGTTTGAGACGTAGTGGGAGTAAATTCAAAAGAATTTGAACTCAAGATTTTCCAACATCTCCGTTTAAGCTCAACAGGAGGTAAGCGGTAAGAGGAATTGCTAATAGAGAGCCACCATATTTATTTCAAGCAACGGATATAATGATGAAGGCCTAAAACCTGGCAAACTCCTGGGTCTGAGAGATGAAGATCATCGTTTCGTTTAGAGATCGGAATTGGTGCCCCTAAAAGCTGACGTTTCCTTGTAGTAACTATATGAGTGGTATGGTCAGAACTATGCCGAGAAGAATGCCAAGACTCCAACACGGCATCATGACTTGGGCTAGTCGGCCCAATATTTTGCTTCAATTTCCTCATGTTGCCGGCCCAATTCTGTAGAAATTGAGGATTAACCTATTGGGCTTCACAAATGAAGTTGAAGAGGTGTGCTTAGGACTCGATGCAGAAAAAGGATTCCGAGCCCATGCTTTAAGCCCAAGATCTTGTTTTGGAAAAGAAAAGCCACCAGAACATTTAATACAATTATAGAAACCAACGAACAAAAGTTAGTTCAATTAATAAGAAATTAGTTTATAATCCAGATCATGAGTTTGAATCTTATTATTAATATGAGGGTTTTATTGGTAGGTGATCTATAAGTATCTCTATAACCACTCTGAGCCTAAAGGCATATCTTAACCTTAGTAAGCTTCCAAAATCTAACTCATCTAAAGTACTCTTCCGGTCCTTAATATAAGACCCAATTGTTGAGTTGGTTTTAACCCTAAATATAAGACCCATTTGTCATATTTATCAATTTTTTCTAAATTACCCTTATAGATACTTCTTCAACCACAATCAAGTAAAAAAAGGAGATGAGGTATTAAGAAAGATTATTATAGTGTTTTAAAAAAAATTTGTCACATTTTTTATAATTAACTAACTTACCTAACTTTCTTAATCTAATCAAATTAGTTAAATGGGTCTTATATTAAAAACCGGAGGAGTATTTTTTATTTAGATAAAAAACGACTTAAGCGTGGCCCCACGTGTTGAAAATGAATGAAAGAGTCATCCACCGCCTTAGTACAGTGACTCCCCCGTAAACCTGCACCACCACAACTCCAACAACAATCTCCGACATGCTCAAATAAAATATTATCTCTATTTTTTAATATAAGAGTCAATTTAATTTTTAATTTGATCATAAATATAATATTATAATTCATTTTATTTTTTATATTTATTCGTTTTGTTTAAGTAATTATTGTAGTAATTATATATGTTAAATGTTTAACTAAATAGTAGTTTTAGCTAATTAGCAAAAATATTTTAAAAAATATAATACCTAATTATTACATATAACAAACTCAACAAACTTTGTTAATCTATTCAAATTAGTTAACTAGTTCTTATATTAAGGATCAAGTAATAATTAGCGGAATGTGGTCACCCGATTGCAATTTAGGAAAGGGAAAACTTGGCATAGAAATCTTATTCTGAAGAGAAACCTTGAATCTAAGCTCACTAGGGTAGTTCCTGCAAGACGGATCCAATCCTACCATCGCGCCAAAGAGGCTGGCAATACTCCTAGGCTTAAGATGATAGTAACTAACTAAAAGCTTGTCAAACAATTTTTTTTTTGTTTTTAAAACAAAAAGTTGTTTTCAAAATAAGAAATCAAACAAGCCTTGACTCTTTACTAATTTACTTTATGAATATGTAGTTTGCCACACCAATATCCTCTATATGCCATTTACAAGATGAATACAGAGGAGGCATTTTTTTGGTGGGGGGAGTTAGCAAGCATTTATCCTAATTATGAAAGTAATTAGATCCCATACACATTAATTACAAGGCTCTCTACATTTATGGTTGGAAATAGAAATTAATTAAGTCAAAAGGTAACCACAATTTTATGTAGATGAAAGTGAAAATAACCCACAAATAAAGTCAATACCATGCTTCCCCAAGCCCCACCTGCTGTTATACCAACCATGACCAATAGTTTAACTACCATGACTTGCCCACCTTTAAATTTGGTCAAGACTAATTCATCTTACCAACTCTCTCTCCTTGTTTCTTTTCCTTCCACTCTATCATGTTCTTCTGTTTCAATAAAGAAACGCCAAGATACAATCATTCTTATAACTTTCTTGTTTTTTAAGCCTTCGTTTCTAATTTCACTATTATTTAATTTCATGCATCAACCAAATCCCTTTTTAATATTGACATAGTACAGGTCACGATAGGATTTAACTATTAGTAAATTATATAATATGGGGATATAATTTAGAGTATATACCAAACGAAGTTCGTCGGTGAATATGCCAGCAACAATGATGTGTTGTAGTAGATATTTCTAATGGATAGATATTGAAAAACTTAAGTTTAAGGAAAATATTACTCCCTCCGGTCCTAAATATAGGACTCTTTTTGTAGTGTAATTTACATTACAAAAAGAATCTTATATTTAGAACCGGAAGAGTATGTTGAGATTTTTTTTTTAATTGATCGAATTTGCTATTTTTTACTAGTAAAAGTGAAAAGCTACTAGCTAGACCATAAATTATACTAAAGCACCAATAATTTTTTTAATTTTATTATTTATAAATTATAACCAATGTAATTTAAAAATACATTTCATTAACTAGACAATATGAACTTCATAGGGAATAACAAATTACAAATAACGTGATACTTTTATCTTTATATTCGTGCATTATGCAAATGGTACCCCACTTAATTAAAACATCGTATGATTCTTCCAAATGAAATGATTCAAGGAAACAAAGCAGAAATAATACAGGGTGACTCCTGCATGCGGGAGATGCATTTTAATTTATTTATTTTAGAGTTTATTGAAAAATTATGAATAAGTTTTAGAAAAATTCCTATTAATAATGTTCCTCAATCATAATATTAATTTTTAATATCTCATAGCATGTTTTCTAAATATTAATTAATACTCTCACCAGTCCTAAATGTGTTGAGTTACAGATAACTAATTAAGTTAATTATTTCTAAAAAATATATCTTAATTCTTTTAAAAATACTTTTTTAAATTATTTGTATGAAGAACAACTCTCTAAATGAAAGGTCCCTCTAATACATACAATTAATATGAGAGTTTAGAATGTACATTTTAAATTCGCAAGGCATAATAGATTAAGGTATTATATTTACTATCAAAGCAAAACAATCTAATCACAAATAGACTGAACTAGTTAGCTCAACCGGAAAATCACTAAACTGACCAATGGTTTTGTTTGGTTTAGACATTAAACATGTATCAAACCGATCAAATTGAGATGAATATGTGAAAACCGGTGTGGACTGATAATACACTGATTTAAATAATTATATTACTATTAGTCTTATTTTTTCTTATTTCAACTCATAATATTTAGTCACTATAGATTTGAATAAATTTTAATGATGATTTTGGTATTAATGATTATTAGTTTTAGTTATTGATGAATTGTAAAAATCAAAATTCTCAATATTGTTATATTTTGTTATTTTTATAATCAAAATATTATTATAGTTTCTCGTATTTTGTGATTGATGATCATTAATATTGTTATACTTTGTTATTTTTAATTAAATTATATTATTTTGATATGATCATTTAATTCTGTGTTGACTTCAATCTAACCGATTGACTCTCAAACCACTACTTCAACTTAGTTTTTTGTTCTTTGATTAAAATAGAAGAAGTAATAAAAAAATTAAAAAAATGCAACAACAACAACAAATTTTTTGGTGATAGTAACAACAACAATTTTTGTTGGGGAAAAAAAAAGAATCTCGTAACTCATTTTTTTTAACCAAACAATTATAATAAACTTAAAATAATGTCGCACACCATACATATATCTATTAAATAATATTATCTATGGTACTAATTATAAGAACTAATTAATTAATTTGAAGAGATTAAAAAAATAAGTTAAGTCAGTTATTTGTAATAAATAGATGTCATCTTTCTTAAAATATCTTTGCTACTTGAGTGTATAAATATAAGAGATAAAGTGAATTGAGATATTATATTTAGAATCAAATTAAAAATTAAATAAAGTCTTATATTAAGAAACGGAAATAGTATTATCATTTTATATTTTATATCATGATGATTGATGTTAACATTATTATTGAAACTAATTGATGTGGATTATATAAGTTGATTCCTTGAGATTATGAATTCATTTTTCCTATTTTAAATTTCAACACCTGCCACAGATTCGCTGTCCAGTCGTTACTATTTCTTTCTCCTCCCTCCTATGAAACATCATGTAGCTTCACTTTGTTCTGAAGCAAAATTCAGACTTCCGATCCTTTTGTTTTGTTTCTTCTTCTCTCCTTCAAATAACTCATCCCCACCACCTTCTTCCATCTTCAAATCACAGTGACTCTCTCTCTTCGTCTCTCTCTCTCTCTACTTTTGAAGAACAGAGAAAACATGATCAGGAACAAAACTCAATTCACAGGAAGCCTCAAAATTGGCCTTCTGTGCTTTTCATTTCTCCTCATATTCATCTTCATCCTCAGATCAAGCTTTTTCTTCCCAATTTCTCAGCCACAGACCCGTATCTCAAACACTACAATCAGCCCAGAAGCTTCATCAGAAGAATCAAAATCAGAACCGCCACCGTGCTTGACGCCGACATGCACCAAAATCCCACCGTCGCTGGCAAACGCAATAATCCACTATGCCACCACCAACATCACTCCACAACAAACTGCTCGTGAAATCTCAGTCTCAGCTCGAGTTCTTCAGAGGAAATCGCCCTGCAACTTCCTCGTCTTCGGCCTCGGCTACGACAGTCTGATGTGGACCTCTCTTAACCACGGCGGCCGGACGGTGTTCCTGGAGGAAGACAAAGCGTGGATCGGCAAAGTCGGCGAGAAATTCCCCTCACTAGAGTCCTACCACGTGGTGTACGACACCAAAGTCCGAGACGCCAACGAGCTGATGAAGATCGGAATGGAGGAAGAAGACTGCCGTTCGGTGACGGACCCGAGATTCTCCAAGTGCAAATTGGCTCTAAAGGGGTTTCCGAGCGAGATATACGATATTGACTGGGATGTGATAATGGTGGACGCGCCGACGGGGTACTTCGACGGAGCTCCGGGGAGGATGACCGCGATTTACACGGCGGGGCTGATGGCAAGGAACAGAGAAGAAGGTGAGACTGACGTGTTTGTTCATGATGTGGATAGAGTCGTGGAAGATAAGTTTTCCAGAGGATTTCTGTGTGAAGGGTATTTGAGGGAACAAGAAGGAAGAATCAGGCACTTCACTATTCCAAGCCACAGGGCTCGCCTGGGTAGACCATTTTGCCCTCAGAAGAGGTAAGAAATTCCAGTTAAGAGGAGAGAGAGAAAGGTGGGACCCGTTTCAATACCTAGTCAAGATTTTTTATGTGTAAATTCAGTGGAGAGAGAAAGAGGAAGACAGAAGAAAGGTTGGCCTATTATTTTACTGTGTTTGGTTCTGATCTTAAGCGGACATGTGATTCACTTATTAGGTGGGGTCCACTAATCTTTTATGTTTCTTTCCTCATATTATATTATTACGGTGAGCGTCTGAGGTTTGGATCGAATGGGAATGGGAATGGGAATGGAGCTATCTATGTTTTAATACAATCTCTCCGCTCATTTAAGCGTTTGAACTTTGAACAAGTAGATTTCATTTACATATATGGGATTCATGTCTCATTGTCATTTCTTTCTGTAAAATACATAATTTGTCACCATGGTTCCTTGACAAATAAATTCATTTATTTCTCTTTTTGTATCTTCCCTTCAATGCTTCAATATATAGAAAAAAGGGTAAAAATGTATCCAATGCACTCATTTTATTTTTAATGCATCTAGCACTTCAAATATTAGGATATTGAATTTAACTAAAAAATAACGTCGGGTATACATTAGAAAAAATAAGATTAGACGTGATGAGGTTGGCTATCCAGATGCTGCATCAATTCCAACCCCTTATTGGCGTCATTCTGGAATGCCAGAATTGAGAATCTGACCAGAAAAACCAACAGAAGCTCATTCTTCGCTCCTTCAGACAATCTCCCCTCTCATTTAAGTGTTTGAAGTTTGAACAAGTAGATTTCATTTATATGTATATGGGATTCATATCTCATTCTCATTTCTTTCTGTGAAATACATATCAAGATTCTGATTATTTGTCACCACGGGTCTTTTGACAAGTAAATTCATTTATTTCTCTTTCTGTATCTTTCCTTCAATGCATGGATGGATACATTAAAAAAATAAGATTAGAATATTAAATATAGCATGACATGGCTGCATCAATTCCATCCCCTGAGTGGCGTCATCCCCAATAGAAGCTTATCCTTCGCTCCTTCAAACAATCTGGAGCTGCACATATATTCTGCACAAGATGGCACGCATGCCCTGCAATCAAGCTATGATTTTAGTTGTTAAGAATATTCATACTCTGCAATACTAAAAAATATTACATTTAATTGCGGAGTCATCATTTAAATTCGTTGAGTAGTTAGCATCTTCTGTAGTAAGATTAACCTTACTAATATTAATGAACTCAAAGTGTGTTTCGTTTGAGTGGAGGTCAGGAAAGGTGTTTTTAAATAGGAAAATTTGATAAAAATTATCTGTTTAAAAATTTTATTGGTTAAAAAAATGCAATTTTTTTTTGGTTGTGCGCAACATATCTTTAGCCATGACTTCTATTTTGATTACTTTTGCACATAATTAACATACAGTTAAAGAAACGTTATGCTTGCTTAAATTGAGGTCCTTTAAGCCAACAAAATTTTCACCCTCAAAGTTAATTCCTAGGAAAAAAGATGCAAATTCTCCAAAATAGGAATCCTAAATGCAAGGTAAAGTGAAATGATCCTCATTGCTAAACTCGTTGCTGGACTAAATTGTCATCTTATATAAATAAATAAGTCTGTTAAACATTTTTCAAAACAACACTAAATTGGAAAAACTGCATATACGGATGGTATGCATCACAAAACCCTTAAAATTCTACTAAAAATAATATTTTTCTACGAATAGCTCATGTATATTTTTGCCCAGAAAACATTTCAACAGGACAACAGTAAATGGAAAAACTACATAAACGGATGGAAGACTCAATACCTCACTGTTTCATGTTATCACCTTTTCTAGCTATTAATTTTATTCTTACTTTTTATTTTCTTTTTTTTCCCAATCAAAAGCCTTTTAATTTTATTTAGATAGGAACGTCAGGGGAAATCAAAGCCAATAGGTACAAAATGTGGTCTAAACATATATATATATATAGGGTTAATTTTCATCAAAAACTAATGCTTGTAGTTGCCCAATTTGAGTAGATTAAAAAATTAATTAAATTAATTATTTGTAATAAATATGTATTGTTTTTTTTTAAATATCCTTGCTAATCATGTGTATTAATTACATTTAATAAAATCCTTAACATGTGTAACTATTATAAAGACTTTTTTTTTTTGGTAGTAGTGTCATACGCAATAAGCAAATTAAACCATGATACAGGGATTGAAGTGGGAAATGGCATCAATGTGAAAACTTCCACTGCTATATCAAATGAAACTATCAATCAGCGAAGATAATTTCTTTTGCTATTGTGCTTCACATCTTTCTTTGACCCCAACCAAAAGATAGTTCCATTAGAAATGAATCCATTTTTCCCCATAACCCTTTGGTTAATGCATACACTTTGACTTGATTAACCAATTGCAAATAACCTCCAGAATCGAAACAGTTCACCATCTTGTAATCATTAACAACTGGGCTGAACCCAAATGCTATAGAAAAACACAAAGACTTATAATTAAGACATTTGGGCACTTGTCGGATTTCTCTAGTAGCCGGATTCCACAACCAAAAGGAATGTTGATTTTTCTTAAAGATTTCGACCCAAATCAAGCCAATGGACAATCCTCCTTGAAACCATTAAGGAATCATTATTGACGGGTGGATTCTGAAATTCAAGGAATTGTTTCTCAAGAGTCATCAAACGGAAGTGACAATGATTATTATATCCGAAGATATTATGACTATTCATGATTGCAATGGGCAAGAAGAAAAGGGTTTTGCTGAGTAGAACGGAGGAGGTGTTCTGCAATAAAAGCACTACAAAAAAAAAACTTTAGATGACGACTTTTTGTGGTGACAAAAAAAGCCACCGCTAAAAGTCCACTTTCAGTACACGACATTAAAAAGTCACTCTTAAAAGTAATAGTTTTAGTAGCGACAATCTTACTTTTAGCGGCAACAAAAATGTCACCACTAAATATAAGACCTTAAGTGGTGATGTCACCACTAAAGGGCTTACTTTCAATGGCAACTTTCTAGGACTACCACTGAAAGTAAACTTTCAGCAGCGACATTCTAGTATCATCGCTGAAAGTTGACTTTCAGTAGCAACTAAGGCTGCACAAAGACTGGACTGGACCGGGTTTGGTACCAGTCTGAAGTCTGGTCTGAAAAATGATCAAGTTGGACTTTTTGGTCCGTAGTCCTGTCCGGTCCGGTAAGACCCGGGACCAAGACCGGGTTGGACTTGGTCCACCGGGTTACTGGACCAGTCCAGGTTGATTCTACTTTTTTTTTAAAAAAATTAATACGTATTTACTCTGCTTTTTTTTAAAAAAAAAAACCTTTGTGACATATTTACTTTGCTGATCTTGTTGTAGATATTCTAAAATTAAACCTTTCCATTAAAGCTTTCCACTAGATAAATATTAACTTATTAATATAATATGACAATAATGTGGTCTGCCCTCTGCATATAAGAAAATAAATATTAAACATGATCATATTTAGGATCCTAGAAGAGACAACATGAGGAGAAAATTAAGGAAAAACAACAAGGAACAAAAGATTTGAATAACCAAACTTGTCTTTAAATTATCATTAGTCAATATTCATTCAACCTACATATCAAAATATGTCCTTAACCTGTAGGAGTTAAAAGGTCCGTTGCCTGTACAAAAATCCAGGTGAGTCAAGCTATACACCAATCCTAATTAGCTGGACAAGCCATTCATACAAAGTCACTGTCAAGCACTAATTATCATCAGCCAACTATATGGTAATTTTAACTAACTAACCAAAAGATCAACCTGCACAATTAAACCAGTCAAAAAAATCCAGCCATGTAGTCAAAAAACAAACTATCACCATCAAGCAACCAAAAGACTTTATATTCTAAGTCCAAAATATCTGAAACTGAAATGCTGAAAGTCATACATCCTCTCCAACATCAGTAACACTGGAATAATCTGAAAAGTATATAAAACATAAGTAGTCAATGACATTACAATAGTCATGGTAAAAATATGACATTACAATACAACATACACTAAGAAATGATTACAAACAACTGAAATTTATTTGAGCATTTATATAAAATATAAATAATCAATGGTATCACAACACATACCAGTCTTCACCACACCCTCTGTCTCCTGAAAGTTATCAAACTCTTGAAGCATGGATGTAAATTCAGAGAGAGATCTCCCGGGGAGTAGCCAATTTTGGGCACAGATAAGTGCTTCAGTCATTGTTGGTGATAGTGAACTCCTATAAGAGTCCACTATACGTCCTCCAGTGCTAAAGGCTGATTCAGAGGCCACTGTAGACACTGGCACAGCCAAGATATCACGTGCCATCCTAGAAAGTATTTTATATTTACTAGAATTGACTCTCCACCATGCTAATATATCAAAATCATCATCAACAGGGGTATCATCAGCTGAAGAAGATGAAAGATATCTATCTAATTCAGATTATGGGTCTTAGGAGCTTTTTTCTTTCTGGGATGCCAACCATCTGCGACCTGGATCTCCACTGCCTTGGCCTTGTAGCATAGTTGATGTTGATGATCTTGGGGGTACAGAAGAAACATTGCTTGAAGTACTACTAGTTGCTTGCCCCACAGAATACTCATCAAACATGCGATACAAAACATCTCTAATCTTAATTTTCATGGCCATACAAACTTCCACATCATGAAAAAGCTGATCAAAAATATGATATACATAAGCAAGCTTGTAGCGAGGATCCAAAATCACAGCAACAATGAGCAAAGGATTCATGTTCTCTGTTTGACCCCAATATTTTTCATATTTACTTCTCATGCTAAGGGACATCTCCATAAGTAAGGGATCGGCATTCACAATGTTCTCTTCCAACAACTCATGAATTAGAGCAATTTGGTGGAAACAAGTGTTAGAAGTGACATCTAGTGAACTTGAAAACATCAGAGTTATGTCATAGAACACCTTCAAGAATTTAAGAAACATCCTTGCCTTATTCCAATCACTAGCTTTAGGAGGGCCTTCATTCCTGGAACCTCTAGCAAAGTATGCGTCATAATCATCATCTTCATCTTCCAACCGTTCAAAAGCCTTTTGAAATTTCAAAGCAGATTCCAACATCAAATATGTTGAATTCCACCGAGTATTAACATCAAGACAAACAAGGCTGGTGGTGTCCACTTTCTCTAATTCAGCAATATTCTTGAACTTTTGGAGACGAGCTGGAGAAGAACGAACATATTTAACTGCATTACGGATTGAATCAAAGCTGTTCTTTAACTCCTTTAACCCATCATTAACCACCAAGTTAAGTATATGTGCAGAACATCTAAGATGAAGGTAGTCATCTCCACAAATCATGC